ATATACATATATATACTTGTAAATATATTTGTATATAAATATATATGTATATATGTGTGTGCATATATATATATGTGTATATATATATATGCACACACACAAAATAAGTGACTAAAATCATGAAATTTATGAAGAGGGAAGGCCATAATCTGTACTGTACAACATATAGTTTCCATAGTTATTTCTGAAATTTATAGAATCTCAAGCTGACCTTGGGAAAGTGCATTGTGTATTCCTGCAAAACAAAGGTTCATATCAAATCTTAAGACATAGGCCGGGCGCGGTGGCTCAAGCCTGTAATCCCAGCACTTTGGGAGGCCGAGGCGGGTGGATCACGAGGTCAAGAGATCCAGACCATCCTGGTCAACATGGTGAAACCCCGTCTCTACTAAAAATACAAAAACATTAGCTGGGCATGATGGCGCGTGCCTGTAATCCCAGCTACTCAGGAGGCTGAGGCAGGAGAATTGCCTGAACCCAGGAGGCGGAGGTTGCGGTGAGCCGAGATCGTGCCATTGCACTCCAGCCTGGGTAACAAGAGTGAAACTCCGTCTTAAAAAAAAAAAAAAAAAAATCTTAAGACATTTCAGCATGCTAAGTGTTTAAAGTAGTCTCATGTATTTTTTCCATCAGCCATCTGTGTCACCTTGATCAATCTACTCATTCTCCTGAAGCATAAGTTTCCATCTCTAACATATGGAATTTGAACTAAATGATCTCCAAATCCCCTTCCAACTTTGATATTCTGTTAATGTTAACATTAAAAATAGCAGACTACTGTTATTTTTAAACTGCCCTTAAAGAGCGTTGTTAAAACAAAAACAACTGAAGAAATAAACAAAGACATATTTATGTTGCTCTTTTTAAAAAATTTTTACTTTAAGTTCTGGGATACATGTGCAGAACGTGCAGGTTTGTTACATAGATATACATGTGCCATAGTGGTTTCCTGCACCTATCAACCTGTCATCTAGGTTTTAAGCCCTGCATGCGTTAGGCATTTGTCCTAATGCTCTCACCCTACCTGCCCTCCACTCCCCAACAGGGCCCGGTGTGTGATGTTCCCCTCCCTCTGTCCATTGTCCAGCTCCCACTTATGAGTGAGAACATGTGGTGTTTGGTTTTCTGTTCCTGTGTCAGTTTGCTTAGAATAATGGCTTCCAACTTCCTCCATGTTCCTGCAAACTCATTGCTTTTTATAGCTTCATAGTATTCCATGGTGTATATTGTGAAAGACAGTGTGGCAATTCCTCAAGAATCTAAACCAGGAATACCAATTGACCCAGCAATGCCATTACGCAGTTTATACCCAAAGGATTATAAATCATTTACTATAAAGACACTTGCACACATATGTTTATTGCAGCACTATTTACAATAGCAAAGACTTGGAATCGACCCACATGCCCATCAATGATAGACTGGTTAAAGAAAACATGTTGCTCTTTTTAAAAACACTTTAACATTTCCTTAGCCTGCATTAAGGCAGTGTGTTTCTTGTTTTTACTAATGTTGCTCACTTTTTGGTGTATTTTACTTTGACAAATGAGAATCTAAGCAGCAGTTGTTCAAAAAAGCTATGATTGGCTAAGTAGGCATCTTGTACCTAAAGTGGCTAACATAGAACCCTTGGTCTTTTATACTAGAGCCTGCACTTCCGTTTTAGTTAATGGTGTCAAATTAAGCCTGATGCTCAAGAAAACGTGAAAATATCATTCAGTTTTGGTTGTGCTCATTCCAAAGAGTCGAAGTTGTATTATGGCATGAAAAATAAAATACAGCTCTTCTTCCTTTCCCTCCCAACAACCCTCTGAAGCCGCTTGAGTTTTTATTCCATTTTTCACATAATGGAGGCCCTCGAGTTTCCCAGGTCAGAGATCTGGTCAGTGGCTTCCAGACCTGCACTTTGATTTAAGATAAGCCTGAATAAATGGGAGTTGTCTAGAACAGTTCCTAATAAGTAGGTATTTCAATATCAGTGTTAAGTATCCATATTATTAACTAAAAATTAAGCATA